CCAAAATTCATTGTATAGGTCACACGCATTAACCACTATCGAATGCGTGGTCCTGTCCCAAAAATAGATAGGAACATGCCGAAGATTTACTATCATACTTTCGAAGACTGTAGTTCTTGGTAGTACAACAAATTTCGAGAATAAGTTCTCCCGATGGAAGCAGAAAGTGCCCCCACATTGTGGCTCATATGTGGTACCCCAGCGTAACAACTTTCCCTCAAACTGATCAATTCCGCCAACTCACTATCGCATCCGTAGAGTTTGTTCAGCATTAAAGCGTCGATGAATGAAACGAATGGCGACCCAAGAGTTTCTCGATAGTCCTTGTCGTACGGTGTCAGCGTTGGAAGTTCAGGGTTGATTGCAGCGCTGCGAACAGATATTTATGAACAAACATGATACTCAATACAATCAAAGTAGTTGATGTTGTGGATTTGGCGATTCTGAAAAGTATGATGTATACGATCAGGCATAGAAATTCAACTCAGCGAAATGGAATAAACAGAGTAAAATCCATGTTAAAGTTATATGGACTAACTCTGACGCGCGATAGCGCATGATGCTATCATAGTCGTAGTCCAAACCGAAGTTATGGTTCATCTCTGATGACTTCCACTCAAATAGACTTACCCAGTATTTCTGGGAGCAAATGTGGTTAAGGAAAACTTCGCCAACTCATCCCCCTTTCCTCGACCATACCTGGATATTTTCTACATTCACTATAATGTGGTCATTGCGATCATGCCTGGACATAGTATGATAAAAACCGAGAGTATGGCCAATCTCGTGAGCTGCGATAGACTTCGTCTCACATGCGTCCGCTAGAGATATCTGTTGCAGGCCTCCTGCTTTTCCAAGGCTCGACCAACATCCGCCCTTTGCTTGAACTATCAAAAGATCTTGGCCTTGTACTGGAAACAATCAGTGTTCGAGGCCATATCTGGTAAACAGCACATTGATAGAAAAATAAGCAGCGAAAAGTGATATAATCGGCATCATTGTTCCCGAGAAAAACTAAAAATAAAAAGATATTTCCAGTTGTCTACATTGATGGAACAACACACAGTCTGCACAAGAACACATGTGGAAAAGCCGTTTTCAACCGTCCAGTAGACTAAAATATGAAGAACTTCTCAAAAAGGTTACCGTATCGTTTCAGAGTCTCTACGTCGCTTATTCCCTCGAAGTGATTTTGACGTTGGAATCGAAGGCATGTGTCCTTCGTCCACATATTTGCTCCTTTCAAAAAAGATTCCTTGGTATCTTCACCCTGTAGTACAACCTTTACTTCTAATTCGTTCTAGCAGCAGCAGGACATTTT